GGGGGTGCCCTCCCCGCCCTAGCCTCTCCAGCGCTGAGAGGAGAGGCTAGGCTGGGTTGGGCTGGGCTGGCTGATGTAGGCCGGGTCGGGCTGGCTGTAGGGGAGGGCAAAGCCTTCCGCTGCCTTATGCACCAGATGCTTATGCCTGTTCCGAAAGTCTGCAGCAGGGCAGAATTAAGGGTAGCAGTACTGCAGCCTCCCCCACAGGGCTGTCCCTACCAATACTCAAATCATGCGCCTTCCGCTGCCTTATGCACCAGATGCTTATGCCTGTTCCGAAAGTCTGCAGCAGGGCAGAATTAAGGGTAGCAGTACTGCAGCCTCCCCCACAGGGCTGTCCCTACCAATACTCAAATCATGCGGCTATGTAGGGCACCATGTAATTTGAAGCCCCAAATTGCTCAAAATTCCATGGTGCCCTACGCAGCTGTGTGCTGCACATGGGCTCCCCGGCCCTGCAGGCCCTGCATCAGCTCTGGCCTCCTGCCTCACCACCTGGCCACACACACCCCTTGCTGGCTGCGCCCAGTCGCCCCTCACCAAGCAGCGGTGAGCAGCACAAATATGAGTAGGACGACTCAGGAGGAACAGGGGCAACGATGCCACCAGCAGCTGGAGAGAAACAGCAGTTTCCCCTTCAAAGTGCTGCTTCTCTCCAGCTGAGTGCGCAGCCACCCTCTGCTCCTTGTGAGTCCTCTTACCTGCAGTCACATCACTTGAGCCACCCTCTCCCTCTGATCATGCTGCCCCCACAACTTTTGTACCTGCCAGTGCTGGGCTGCTTAGAGCATCTGCATTGGTAGGGACAGCTTTGCTCCTTTATAATAACCTTGAAGCCATCCACAACTCATATTGGGGCCAGGATCCCCACAATCACAGCACCACGTAAAGAGCTGAAAGCATGAAAGGTATTATTTTAAAAAATCCTACAACCATGAAATTGACCAAGATGGACCTTGAGTTTGTTAGGCCCTATTCATGTACTAAGATCTGAGACCATTTCGCAAGTTCTCATTAGGGCTTGGAACGCCTTCCTGCACTTTTCCTCCTAGGGCTGGGTCAGTATTAGATCTGTTGTACAAAAACTGGGGCAGAAAGGGGATAGAATTGGCATGAGATCATGTAATAGGTGAGTGGCTAAGCTGGAAAGGGAACCCACAGGTCTAGCTGGCATACCGCCTTAGCCTAAGCTAAATATAAGGTGTATATCAGAGAGATGGGTGTGAGGGATTTGGAGTAATAATGTATGCATATTATGAGTTGACTTGGTAATTATGATGTTTATTGTGTGTGTATATATATATATATATATATATATATATTGAGGTTATGCAAGAGCAGGACCATCAGGAAGAGCACCCAAGAAGGAAGGTGTGATGGTGAATACATATTGTAACAAATACTTGAGATATAATCCAAAAGCCATTAATTCTAATGCCATCATTCAGGACCTGTTGGACTCGACATACAGATTACCCAAGGAGTGACTTGGGCCCTGTGAAGGAGGACTTACTTACCGGTACTTACGGGGTCGCCAGGTTTTTGAGACTGACACCCAGCCTCCAGAGGTTTGTAGTTTGTAGAGCTCTTATTTGGAAAGCCTTTTCCCTCAGCTGTGGGATTTTCTTCATATCATTAAGATTAAACAACATGTTGGGTTGGGAAATTTGTCTCATCCTTGTATTTGCTGCTAGGTATGAGCTTCCAAAGAGAAGAGCCAGCTGGTGTGAACCCAGACAAACCAGTTTTGGTAGGGACAGTCCCACTCCAAGGGTGGGAAACACCACATAGCTCTACTCTGGGAGTGGTACAGAGAGGAGACTTGGAACTGAGCAGCGATTAACACATTTGTGGTGTTGGTTGTACAGGAATGGCCCAGCTTTTACTTACGTTTCAGAGGGGTACCCGTGTTAGTCTGTAATAGAAAAAAAAACTTTAAAAAAACAAGGACTAGTCCTGCAGCACCTTAGAGACTAACAAAACATGTAGAAAGTGTCATGAGCATTCGTGGACACAGCCCACTTCTTCAGATGTCTTCTTTAAATATGGTATATGTTTCAGAGAATTAGCTGTGTTAGTCTGATTCTGCAAAACACAAAAGGAGTCCTGTGGCACCTTATAGACTAACTGAAGCACGCATCTGATGAAGTGGGTCTTTGCCCACAAAAGCTTATGCTCCAACACTTCAGTTAGTCTATAAGGTGCCATAGGACTCCTCACCGTTTCTCAAACTGTGGGTCCCGACCCTCCAGGGGGTCACAAGCAACTTAGAGGGGGGATGTGAGCAACTTAGAGGGGAGTCGCGGTATCACAAAGTTTGAGAACCCCTGCTGTACAGGATAAACTTAAAAAACAACAAATGGGCTGGTCACACTTTATAGACTAACTAAACATGTAGATGATTTGTTAGTCTATAAAGTGCTACCAGACCATTGTGGTTTTTTAAGTTTATCAAAAACTTTAGACAGTGGAAATCATTGTAAGAACACTTTAATATTGTTAGTAAAGTTGTTAATATAGAGAGGGCTAAACATAGTTCTTCATATGGAAAAAACATTGAAATACTAGCATATGCAATTGCATCTTTATTTAGGGCACAGTCAAATACACCTTTTCTATGTAGACAACTCACCTGCAAATGGTGGACCAAAACTACTAATTGTGTGGACAGCCATCATAAATCCCCAGGCCACAGGCATTTTCTCTGCTCCCATCAAGTCCAGAGTGAGAACAGGTAAAAGAACATAGTTTCCAGCATCAAAAAATCCCAATAGCGTGCCAAAAGCCATTAAGGAGGGAAAAGTTGTGCATAGAGGAACTGTCAAGTATAAGAGCCCTGGAAAACAAAAACAAAATAAAACAAAACTGTTGAGTTGTTTTTGGTATTAGTTACACTTCTTATGGATGAAACATCTGTGTTGAATGGCACCAGAAAAAGGCCATGTTTTCTGTAACTAGTTAGCTGGTTGCTATGCAGTTCATTCGACACAATCTGATTCTGAACTGAATTTTAAATTTCTTGCTAATGTTAAATTCTCACATAGCTGCATTCATACATTA